GCCAGAATGAAGCCCAGAACAACAGCGGCATCCTCTATGCCTCCCTCACTCTCTCCAGCTCCTCATCACTGGCAGCATCTCCCTGCATCCCTCCCAAGGAGAGCCCCCAGGAGGAGACGCTATATTCTCTCATAAAGGCCTGATGAGTGGGACTGAAGGACGACCTCCTTAGACTAAGCTGCCCAGCGGGTCACAGCTTCTGATAATAATCCCAGCCAGACACAGAAGACTCAGAAGTCAGCAGGTGTGGAAGGTCACCAAGGACCGCAGAAAAACAGAGCCATCTGCTCCAACTCCCTCTCCACCTTCCCAGCCCTTGCCCACAAGAATAAAAGTACCTAGAATTTGCCCCAAGGCATCTAAGGAGAAAACTGATGGCACCTTCCACTTCTGTCTTTTCCTTCTCGCCAAAAATGAACTATAATAAAGAGCTCACACCTGAGATCCCTCCCCCAGTCCTGGAGTTCGGTGACTGCCTTGGGGCGGGGAACAGTAAACCCGGAACGCTGGTAGCCAGCCCAGAACCCAGGGTCTGCCCCTCCTCTACCCATTCTCCTTCCCCTCTGATCAGAACGAGCATGTGTCAAGTGCACCACCACATTAAGCATCTCCAACAAGCTGAGCTGGGACTGGACGCACTCACCTGAGGCGTGAAGAGACCACAATGGTTAGCGCTTTTCTCCAGGCCACGCACCTAGTAAGTGGCTGAACCGGGGGTCTGAACCCAGACCTGCCCTTCTCGACAGCCTTCTCCCAGGACTCGGGTGTCCCCGCCTTCCCAGATCTCTATACTGTGCCGGCCTCCCATGGAAACAGGGACGTGCCACAGGGAGCGGAGCGGAGGGGAGGGAGGGAAGCCGAAGGGAAGCATGTGGTTAGAGACCAATTGCGGAAAGCCGTAACCTGTTTTATTAACACAGAAACTGCACAGCTGGGACTTCAGCCAGGTGACCTGTAGCCGATGAACAAGCCCCACCCTTAGCAGCCTCTCAGGGACCCTCTGAGGGGCTCTCCCTGCTGCTGGCAGGGAAGGGGGTGAGAGAGCAGCAGGGAGGCAGGTGCACACAGCTATTCCTCGAAGAAGGCCAAGGTGAACTCCCCAGGGTCATCTCCACACCGCGGCCCCTCCAGCTGCTCCGGCTCTCTTCCAACATCTTCTAGGAGTTGCTCCAGGTCCAGGTCACTGGAGGCGTCATCGTCAGGGGGGACACTTCCAGCCTCTGGAGGACACTTCCAGCCTTCTTTCCCTCCCATGGGACAGACCCCGCGATGAGCTGGTGGGGTCAGGCCCTTGGGCACCATACTAGCTTCCTTGTCCTCAGACAAGCTGGTTCCTGAGGCTTTGCTTTGAGGAGCTTTAAATTTTTTCTTAGGGCCTGGATGAAAAAGTGATGAAACTGAGAGTCCTATTAGGCCATCTGGCCTTCCCTTTTACAAGTCAAACTCCTAAATTCCTATTTCCAAAAAAATCTCTGGGAAAGATGACTTTTCTCAATAGAAAGAAAATGGGCTTTGGAGTTAGAAAGACCTGGATTTAAGCCACGGATCTAGCCATATGCTAGTCCTGGGTCTTGAGCAAATTTTAAACCCTTTGGGCTTTAATCCCCTTATCTCTAAAATGGCAACTGTCTAGTCATAGAGATATTGAAAGAATTAAAGGGAACCAGCAAGGAGTATCTATCTAGCCAGCTCACAGCAATACTCGATAAACATCAGTTTCCCCCACTCCTCACCATTCTCCTGTCCTTGGATCAAATGACATCAATAACCATTTTGTGCTACACTCTGCAATCTGAGATACCTAATTTTTGTTCTTTTTTTTTTTAAAGATTTTTTTTTTAAATATTT